TGTCTCTATAACTTATCAGTGACAGTGATCACTATAAACATTTTGTATTTGTTGTATCCGCTGGCTGCGCATGATTTTCCTGCCGCTTCGCCATACGCATGCGCCAGGGGGAAGTAACGATTATCAGCGACAGGGCAAAATGATACCTAAGGGGCCAATTTAAGGATCGTCCAAATGTCTTCACATCGTGTCCCACCCGCCACCATGTCTTTGTCCAATTTCTGAATGTTCAAAGTGAGAGAGCGGTGGGGGATGGACCAAAAAAAAAATGACACCACCGTTCCAAAAACTCAATTTCTGGTTTTCCTGGTTCAGGTTTTGTGTACATTTGATACAAACAGGAAGTAGAGGGAAAGTCTTTATAAATGTGTCCGCTGACAACATTCAGACGTTGGCCACCTATTAGGTTACCCACGAGCGTCTTCCCGCACAATGTAATCATTATCATCGGCAGCGCTCGATTATAAGTGACTGTGACGGCTTTATTGCCTGCTGCTGAGTGATGCTCATGTGCTGCTTGCGTGAATTTTGTGCTAGGAACTCTAGAAAATGCTACTTAGAAATGCAAATCCGCCGCCCCGAGTACGTTCATATTGTGAGGCGGGGCTGCGAAATCAGCAACCAACGCTTTACATAATATTTGTGATCAGTTTTGCTCCATGAAGCCTGAAGAAGGGGTGTGTGTCCATCGTTGACTACAGTTGTCTGCATAGCCATGTGTCAGTGACGTGCCGTGCCTTCTGTGCTGGGTGAGGCATCACCCAGCCCGCCGAAACTCTGCCCCGTCCCGCCGCAGCTCCGCCCCCATCCCACCGAAGCTCCGTCCCCAGCTCGGTAACCAAGCTGTGTGGGGTGAGATCGATGTCCTCACTGGGTTTTTTTTTTTATTGGACAGCTTGGACCCATGGCGCTTTGCCATCAGTCCACACCATAGAGTATAGGCCAGTGGTGGCGAACCTTGGCACTCCAACTGTTTTGGAACTACAAGTCCAATAAGGCATTGCAAGACAGCCACAGACATAACTCCCAGAGGCAGATGCATGTTGGGATTTGTAGTTTTAGCACAGATGGAGTGCCAAGGTTCGCCACCACTGGTATAGGCTGTCACCGCTCTTGGCTCACCAAGTTAGGTTACACAAGCAGTGGGGAAGCCCGCTGCTGTGTAACCTAACTACCTGTCAAAAGCCGGATGCAGCGATGCCTGCAATTAACATGCAGAGCTCCGTCCATGACAGGTCACATGGTGGTGGTGGTGGTGGGGGATTTCCCTGCTCTGTAACCTGATAGAAGCCGATCTGAATGGAGAAAAAGCTGTCAGCTTCAGACTTTAAGCTGACACCTTTTTTCTTCATAATACTAGGTGAGTCTCTGCCCCGCCTCCCTCCCTCCCCTGACCGCACGTCCCTGATGTGTCTGCAGCTGTAGTCACTAATGAGCAGATTGTTACAGCAACCATGTCAGGGGTGTAGAAAAAGTCCAAACACAGTGAGGAAAACTTACCTGTCCACCTGTCTTACCTTACCTGTCCATTGGTGAGTTCCCGGCATCGATCCTTTCCCATACTTCTTGGTGGGTAGAATAGCCTGTACCCCTTCTGGCCAGTGTGGTTCCTCCTGAAGACCCCTACATCACCATTGTGTCCTGCAGTGACTAGAAGCCATCAAGAGGAACCACAATGGCCAGTGGGGGGAACCACTTTTAACCAGTTTCGAGGAATCGAATAGGATCAGCACTGGGACAGGAAGTGAATGGAAATCTCCCCCAATGGGACACAAGCAACAAATAATAAATTCCTTCCAACTCCATCCAAAGCTCTGAGCCAGTAATTACAGAGAGGAAAGTGGCGTATTACTGCTCTGTGACCTACAAGTGCCCCATGGGTACAGGACCTGATTCCGGACCATAACTTTCTAAAGCTCTTGCTACGTCTTCCCTCAACCAAGTGCTGAGAGACCTGAAGAAGAAGGGAGATCCTAGAAATCTGAATAGATCCGGTGTATGGTGAATGGAGCTATAGATGGCTGATGGTCACTAGTGATTTAGAGGGCTGCTCGTCATTATTGCACCCATTTCTGCACTCATTTACATCAGGGCTGCCCATAGGCGGGTACAGGAAGTACTTCCATACAGGCAGGGCCGGATTTACTATCTCTGCTGCCCCAATGCCAGGTTCCTCAATGCGCCCCCTGTATGCAGGATACATACAAGTGATCTCGGTGACATCGGTAAGATCACTTGTACAAAACAAGCGGCGGCTTCCCCGCTGTACGATTAGCCCTGCTTGCACAAAGCAGGGCTAAATGTAGAAAACAACTAGCCGCCCGGCGCCCGGAACTGCATGTCCCGGGCATCGGCAGGGGTTTTCCACACCCCTGCTGCCCCTCTACTCCCTGCTGCCCTGAGGCCGGGCCTCGGTCGGCCTTGTGGGAAATCCAGCCCTGTATGCAGGGTCCCATCCGGTCAGCATGGAGGACCCTTCCATTCTTGGCTTATAGCTCTCCAGCAAGTGCAACATGGCATTTGTCACTTGAGCTGTCATGTTTATACAGCAGGGGGGCATGCAGGCTAGCAGGAACAATGGCGGCTCTCAGAGTGGTTTAGGTGAGGAAGGTGGTGTGAGCAGAGGCTTCCCCAGGATGGAGAGTAAGGAGGAGCAGCACCACCCTGCTGTGTATGGGCGTCTTGGACAACCATCTGCACTGCGATGGGCCCTGCCAGCAATGATGTCAATGAGGCGGTGTCACTGCCAGTGCCGCCAATAAGGAGTACATGCATCACTGCTGTAACACAAGAGGGGGGTCCTGTTAGGTAGGCTGTACGTGCCCCATGATTTCTAATGGTGGCCCTGATATGCATGATCACAAAACACTTGTAATGCGGAGAATTGAAGTGTTGGAGAAGTCAGACGAGTATGAAGCCTCCGACTACATAACACTGCAATACTCCGCCCCCATACCCATATATAGACAGCTGTAGTCACACCCCTCCTGCAGGAAGAAGGAAAATGTTACAATGTATCTCTGCACATCATTCATAATTCAAAAGCTAACAGCAAAGGAATTGAAGAGTAACAAATACTATTAAAGGTTGGCGACTCTGATTCCCCGAATTAAATGACCACGCTTGTTAAAAAAAAGGGCGGAGCTATTCTTTAGATGACCAGTCATGTGATTTCAGTTAGCATGGGTTAAAATATGTTTTCATTACGGTTTATCACTGACAGTGATCAGTAGAACTGTACCTCATTGTATCTGTACAATCCAGAAAATGTGTCCGGACCGCATTTCTGTAACTGAAAGCAACATTTTTCATTAAAAGTTATGAACTTCCTCCTCCAATGTGTCCTTCCATCCTTCATATATATATATATATATGTGTATTGTGTATGTGATACCAAAATAATGATCAACCGGAGCAATCTACATCAGTGCAGAGTCCTCCAGCAGAGCAGAGTATCTCAGGAGAGGAGAGTTATAGAGGAAGGAGCAGAGTCCTCCGGCAGAGCAGAGTATCTCAGGAGAGGAGAGTTATAGAGGAAGGAGCAGAGTCCTCCGGCAGAGCAGAGTATCTCAGGAGAGGAGAGTTATAGAGGAAGGAGCAGAGTCCTCCGGCAGAGCAGAGTATCTCAGGAGAGGAGAGTTATAGAGGAAGGAGCAGAGTCCTCCGGCAGAGCAGAGTATCTCAGGAGAGGAGAGTTATAGAGGAAGGAGCAGAGTCCTCCGGCAGAGCAGAGTATCTCAGGAGAGGAGAGTTATAGAGGAAGGAGCAGAGTCCTCCGGCAGAGCAGAGTATCTCAGGAGAGGAGAGTTATAGAGGAAGGAGCAGAGTCCTCCGGCAGAGCAGAGTATCTCAGGAGAGGAGAGTTATAGAGGAAGGAGCAGAGTCCTCCGGCAGAGCAGAGTATCTCAGGAGAGGAGAGTTATAGAGGAAGGAGCAGAGTCCTCCGGCAGAGCAGAGTATCTCAGGAGAGGAGAGTTATAGAGGAAGGAGCAGAGTCCTCCGGCAGAGCAGAGTATCTCAGGAGAGGAGAGTTATAGAGGAAGGAGCAGAGTCCTCCGGCAGAGCAGAGTATCTCAGGAGAGGAGAGTTATAGAGGAAGGAGCAGAGTCCTCCGGCAGAGCAGAGTATCTCAGGAGAGGAGAGTTATAGAGGAAGGAGCAGAGTCCTCCGGCAGAGCAGAGTATCTCAGGAGAGGAGAGTTATAGAGGAAGGAGCAGAGTCCTCCGGCAGAGCAGAGTATCTCAGGAGAGGAGAGTTATAGAGGAAGGAGCAGAGTCCTCCGGCAGAGCAGAGTATCTCAGGAGAGGAGAGTTATAGAGGAAGGAGCAGAGTCCTCCGGCAGAGCAGAGTATCTCAGGAGAGGAGAGTTATAGAGGAAGGAGCAGAGTCCTCCGGCAGAGCAGAGTATCTCAGGAGAGGAGAGTTATAGAGGAAGGAGCAGAGTCCTCCAGCAGAGCAGAATATATCAGGAGAGGAGAGTTATAGTTTGGCCCTGCATGTAGGGACTTTAAATTTGGGGGTCTTTGAGGGCAGGAAGTGATGTGAATGTGCAACTATAGTATATATACATTTACAATGCTAATATAATTCAGAAAGAAACGTAGAGACTTGGACCTGGATTAGTCAAATTATAAACTCACATATACGACCCTCATATGTAAGAGTGCCTGTAGTGTGTACGGTAGTGTAGCCACCTGGACCAGAGTAAACAAATGTATCTTCACCAATCCCTCTATATTGATAGGTAATGCGTTCATACATTACAGTTTTATCTAACTCGGAAATCCATTCAGATACTAAGGGAGGGGGGGTGTGGTTGGATGGCGGATATCCATTTTCTTGCCACCAGTATCCTAGCGGTATATAAGGCTCTGTCAATAGCCAATTTGAGGTACCAATCCCTCCACGGGATATCAAATATTGCAAGTATGCAGACTCCAGGTGTGTTATCTAACAATATACCCGAAGACAGAATGGACAACCTTAAGCACTGCATCCCAATATCGAAACCAATTTAGGACAATCTCCACAATAAATGTATCCGGGATCCTTGGTGAAACCCGCATTTTGGACAAGAAGAGTCAGTCCGAACGCCTATTTTGAACAGGAACTCAGGGGTACGATAGGTCCTGTGCAAAAATAAATAGTTGGGTAAGTCTATGAGACGCAGAGAAAGTAACTGAGAGAACAGCCCTCGCAGCCCCCGTCCTCATCTGTAATAGGGCCCAGGCCGTTCTTCCACTTACTCTTTGACACTCAAAGGGGATTGTAGTGTCGAGTTGGTTAATAAGCAGGTATATAGATAAGGAATAATACCTTATCTATATACCTGAGCTACTAGATCCCGA